AGATTTTTTGACTTAATATACCATAAAATAAAGGCTTTTCGGTGAATGCCAGGGCTTTACAAGTCATTAAGTTTTAAAGTTATGGTTTGAGACGCAAAGAGAAATATGTTTTAAAACTATAAAAAAAATAAATAATAAATTTGTGTTTTTAAAGTAAAGACCAAAATCATTTTCCCTTTTATTAAACATTTTTTGAGGGAAAATATAAACAAAAATAGTATAAAAAGTTATGAATAGACAATCAAAGCCAGACATAAAACATATAGAAATATGTTATAAATATAAGCTATTCATTGAAATGTCATTTGAAACTAAAGCATGAAATTGTAAATTGTTATTCAAATAATATTATCTTGGATTAACATTTATAAAAAAAATTAAAATCATAATTATTGGCTTATAAGTTGACATACAATTAATTACCTATCATATAGCTAACATTTACAACATCATCAGAGAAAAGTATATGACAAACATGATAACAATTATCTTGATTAATTTATTTAAAATTGAAAATTCACTGGATTATATTAATAAAATATATAAGTTGTTGCTACAAGTATTTTGAAAACTATTATATAATATATTATAAAACATATTTTAAATAAAAGTTTCAAATCTAATAAAGTCTCATAACGAGTGCGGCACCACCATCAACCGGCATATTAATCCCGGTAATAAATGATGCCTTATCACTGACCAGGAATGCTACGCTCTCGGCTATGTCTACCGTTTCCCCAATACGTTTGAGGGGGTAGTTATTCCCACAAGCCTTCACCATATACTGGGCATTCTCACCCAATAGTGGGGTCAGTACTGAACCAGGACTATTTTGATTATCATAAATAATTGAAATATAAAATAAAGCTCACTCATGGTATATAGATTTATTATAATATTTACTTGATACTATTCACACGGACGCCTTTAGGTCCCAAATGCATTGCCAAACATTTAGTAAACATATTTATTGCACTTTTGGACATACAGTACGCCATAGTCATTGGTATCTAAATATAAGGAAAAATTAATATCCAGCTCACATTATTTGAATTGAAGAGATATACCGGTACAACGGCACAGACACTCGAGATGTTAACTATATTTCCTTTAGTAGTCTCGAGATATGGGACCACTAATTGAGTCAATACTTGGACACTACGGACATTGGTATTCATCACTTTGTCAAAAACTTCCACATAATCCGGGTCATGAAAGTATGATTTGGGACATATTCCGGCACAATTCACCAGAATATCAATCCTTTCATATTCCTCGACAGTCTTGTCCACCAAATTCTTCACATCACTCTCACTGGTAATGTCGGCGTAAACTCCCAGCGCTTTGTGTTTGTGAAGGGAACGACATTTTTGAACCACTTCTTGGATGCCATCCCTATTGATATCAGTGATGACCACATCGGCGCCCAAAGACGACAACTTTAGTGCAATCTCTTTGCCGATACCCGAAGCCGACCCTTATATTTGAAAACTTGTATAAATTTTAGGGTACTTTCATATTATTTAGTATACCTGTAATTAATGCTACCTTTCCTGCCAACTCCATTGAAACTTACAAATGAAATAACTATGAAATATATATTTTGAAAGTAAAATCATCTAAAATATTGATTTATCATGTTAATTGCATATATGATCATTTTTAAACAAAAATATAATGTTTTTAAGTGTGATATAGCATAAGTAAAATTTAATATTACATACAATTGAAAAAAGTTTATTTGTTTATGAGTGAAATGTTTGAATGATAAAATTAAAATAACCTGATATTATTCTCATAAACAAAAAATTACAATTCAAAAACAATTGTCTATAATGTATAGATTGTCTGTGTTAAAATCACATTAATAAATAGTATCAAGTAAAAATACAAAATACTTATCAAACTTGATTGGTTTCGGTAAATTTATCAATTCTCATTCGTATTTAGATAAATTAACACAAAAATAAATGTTTTTTCAAAATGAAATGTATTACAAAATTTTTATGGGATTCATGTAGCGTATAAATCAGATGTGTTCAGATGGGTAAGAGTGAGCATTATTACAGTACTTGTAATCATTT